CTCTTTCCTGCCTATGCAGGGGGTCGGACTCGATGATCTATTGAGGTCCCTTCCGACCCTAACATCTATGAATCCTCCTAATGGACTGCGAAATCGTGACTCATCCCATTGTTCCACTGCATCCTCCTGCTTCTTCCAAAGAAGGAGCTGAACGATCCCTCTGACACATGGAGCTTCTCTGCCAGGTTATGAATCCTCCTGTCTCTACCTTGTCCCGGGCCTGTGCCACCACTTTGGTTCTTTTTGTTCCTAACATACGTCAAACACTCTTTTGCATTGTGCTCGCTGCTGGGCAGCTGTGTGGTTTTTCCAAAGAGGTTACACAATGGATTTGTGTGAGATGGTTTGGACAGGGCTGGTCCTGCCTGAGACAGGGGTTGGACCTGATGTGACCTCTGGAGCTTCCTTCGTGCCCCAGGGCTCTACAACTTCTATGATTTTACCCTTGTGTTGTAATGAAATCTAAAATACCACCACATCACATTGCAATACTTTGGTGGCATCAAAGAATCCTAAAGCAGCAGAGCTGGAAGGGAGCTGCAGAGGTCAGATCTAGTCCAACCCCTGCCTGAGGCAGGATCAGCCCTGTCCAAACCAGCCCAGACAAACCCAGGGTCCAACCTCAGAGCAAAACAACACAATCTGCCCTGACACAGCACCAGACATCGCACCCAACCCTGCCCCAGGGAAAGCAAGGACCACGACACCAATGTCCTGATGCTGCATAGGTTTATTAATATACTCTCAAGAGATCCCAGGCAGAGGCCAAGCCTCCACTACAGAGGAAAGCAAACCCCACCAGTCTGTGCCAGTCTGACCACGGGGAAAAAATTCCTTCCTGACCCCAAATGCAGCATTGGGCTGAGCCTGAGTGGAGGGGCAAGACCCTCAAGCCAGGAGACCCTCTGGGGTTGTTCCCAGCAGGAGCATTGGCACAGCCCAGTCCCATCCCCAGCCTGGGCTGCACCCAGCACCTCTGGGGGAGGCTTAAAACCCCCTGACACATGGAGCAGAAAGGGAGGAGGGGGCAGCCGACAGAGTCCAGAAACCTTGAAAATTACCTCTGACGTCTAGCTTTCCTGCACACGTACTAGTCTCTGGCTGCTTTACCATCCAGGAAGAGTGCAGCGCATCTGCAAATGCTTCCTCAGCCTGACAAAGGATGTTTGTGCCCAAAAGCTTGCAAAGAAGAATTTTTTCCAACTATTTGAGTTGGTCTAATAAAAGATATTGGATTTACCCAAAGAACTTGATCTGCCTAGCAACTCTAACAGTGTTTTGCTCCTGGCTGCACTTGATCTTTAGCAGAGACACCTTTGCTATAACAGCACCTTTTCCTCTTCCCTTCTGTCAGAGGGAGGTGTTTGAGGAGTCATCCTCCTCTCCTCTCATCTGCTCCGACAGCCTGCCACAGACCCCCGTGGCCCCTCTGTCCTGGGCCTGCTATGTGCACACTGATTTGCGTGCATTCATGGCACTGGTGCTCAGTCACCAGGAACTCTGCTGCAGGACAAGATGCCTCTAGGGACGAAGGGCAGGGTGCAATCCCCTCATCCACTCATCCTTTCTTAAGCAGGTGCTGGACCACGGTTGCAGCTTGCAGCTTCCAGGCGTGCCAGTGGTTTCAGCAGGGCC